TTCTCTTTTTGGCGGACATAAGGCAGAAATTTATACAGACTTATGGCCTACAGGTTGCCACAGCAATTGCCTATGCAATGAACACGGAGTTCTCCAAAATTCTGTCCCAGCAAATGGTATACTATAGTCAATCGCGTGATGTGGAAACCTTGAGTCGTGTACATGGTCAGGTTGACGAACTGAAAGATATAATGATTAAGAATATTGGTAATATAACATTGAAATTCGCCAGTGTTTCTCAGTTGTTTATACCATTCGTGTTTCTTTTCGCAGATAGTCTGCGCGATCGGGGCGAGAAACTGGAGCTGTTGGTCAATAAAACAGAAAACTTAAGTAATAATGTAAGTATATTAAAAAGCTAAATCATTGGAAAAATCATTGAATTTATATCTTTATCAGTCAGTTGCATTCCGCAAAGCGTCGCGCAATTTGGCACGTCAAATGTTTTGGAAAAATATTCGCGTCTACCTTGTCGTCGGCTTAGTGATCATATTTATTATTTATGTAATTGTAAGCATGGCCTGCGGTGGCCTTGCCTGGCAGTCGTGCATTCAATAGGGCGACGCGATGCGAAAGTTCGAATTGTTATAGTTCATAGCGATGTTTATTTACATATTTAACTTTCGTACTATCATAATCTCTGTTATATTTAATAAAAATGAATGTATAAAGTATATTTCAAAAAATTTCCGCTTTGTTTATTTGTCTTCCACATAAACAATGTCATTGGCCTTGACATTTCCTGGACTTCGGAGACCCAAATGTAATCCCATCGCTGGCGAGGGGTAGTCGAACAAACGATAGCTGTAAGCGATTGGCAAAAGTTTAGGTGTTAGGCGCGGAAATTCATATTGTGCCCCATTTTACTGCCCATCTACCTGCGAAGTGTTTTTAGCGGCTCTCCATCGATGTCCCGCTCGGCCGTTCGAACATTGATGTTCGGCAAAATGCACCGTGTGCAAGGTGCAACTACACGAAAAATAGCCTCGTTGCCGATGCGTATCCATTGCCAGTGGTCTTCGGCGTAGGGCTCATCAACGTCCATTTTTAATTCAAAGTTTCCGCGGAATTGTAGTGGGTCAACGGGGCGCTTCAGGCGCGTGTTAAGATCATCGATCGACGATAAATTCATAAGCATATAGCTGGTTGCATCATTGAAGGTGCCCTTAAAACCAAACATATACATAGATAAATAGAAACCGTATTTACGGTGTCGAAGAAGTCGATTGATTTTCAAGGAATTTCAATACAACACACAATTCGCAATCTAGTTTAAGTATGTGTATTCTACTTACTGAATCATCCTGCTTAATGAAAGGCATTTTCTTGAGTCGGGGATTAGTTGCGCGCACTGGTACAGGGTATGGGTAATACACAAGCTTCAAGCCCGAATCCTTTTTGAGTATGTACTCTGAGAACCATTTGTCGTAGCGGCTGCCGCACAACATGGCATCTAACGGGACGCCCCACACTGAGGTGTGCACGTCCTTGGCGGGCGTGTCCAAATCTGAAAAGTCCAATTCCAAATCGGACATGCCCGGTGCACTGAAGATCAAGCCATTAGAGATCGCTTTGGGTTGAATTCGAAGCATGTGCGGATAACCTCTTGCCGTAATCATTTCGTTATTATCATTAAGTAACATAAATTTACGGTCACGCACGTTCCCCCTGCCTATGCCCAGCACATCACATTCATACTCCTCCTGGTCACCGAGCACCAGCGGAGCACAAGATTTAACTGGAAACACGTTGATCTGCTGCAACGTGCCGACACGGCGCCATTTCATGGGCATTGGATCCCGGTGCAGGTGGCGATATATCAAATAGCCGGCGCCACCTGCAGCAGCCAGGCTGACGCCCATTCCGATCAACATTTTGTTGGAAAGCCCCAAGCCGTTCACTGTAGACACAATGAACATTTTGACATCGCTTAAAACTGCAATATTTTTTAATTATATTAACTTACATGATATTTTTGGATCCATCGTACGTTCCTCCACTTATCAATTTTAAGATGGCACTATCGCAATTGTTGCTTTCTTTCAATAAAAAAAAGCTCACAAAGCTCTGCGAAGAGCTACAAAAACAAAATCGGCGATTATTCGGCTTTGTTGATATGTAAATATACGGTAAACACACATACATGTATGTGCGATTAGCTCTGTTCGACTTTCCCATCAACTTTAAATATGTAAGCTACATATCCATGTGTATATGTACATGGATATGCATGTGTATGTGCATGCGTATGTGCGTGTGTATGTATACTATTATTGGAAGAGGGCAACATACGAAGTTTCAATTTAGGCTTTGCATTGCAATGAAACCGGCTTGAGTGCAACTGGTGTAACATGATAAGTAAACATGTAGTAGGGTAGTGACCGACTAGGAAACACCCTGCCCTGCTTCTAAATTTGACTGTATTAAAATAAAAATATTTACATCCACGCACATACAGCAAACAAAGACTGGGTGATTTTAAAATATTTAAAAGTTGTATATATAATAAAATCGCTGTCTCCAGTTCATGCAATTTTCAAGCTATTCACTAAAATCGATATCTCTACACAAGGTATCCTGTGAAGTCTTTGACGTAATACAAGATCATTATCGGCTATCGCCTTGACGATTTACTAAAAAATAGAATGGCGGAATACCATTAATGCTCGTTTTTACAGTATAACAAACCAGATAATGAGCGACACACATTTAGAAGCGGAGAGCAACACGCCAGAGGAACTGGATGTGGGCAGCGAGCAATTTAATCCACTCCGTGCACTCTACGCCGCAGATTTCAAAGTCACAGAAAGGGCGCCAAAAGTTCTATATCAAAATCTAGCAGCTTTCGAAAGTGCTCTAGTAAAATTCGGCGTTTGGCAACTGAACAAGCGACAGAAAAGCAACGATGTGCCTCCAAAGGCAACAAACAGCAAAAATCCTTTTTCGGCGGTTGGGGAACCGTCGAGTGAACGACGTTTTGAGCCCCATCAAATGCCGGTTGAAGGTGTCCCCAAGTCGAAATACCAGCGCAATCTTTTCACACACATGGCAGGCGCCGAGGGGCCGTTGGCGTTGCTGCAAAAACATTTGCCAACACCGGAGAAGCTGGGTCAGATGCGTCTGCGGGTTTACTTGCGCAAAGAACACACTATTGGCGGCCGTATCGATGGGGAACTTGTGGCCTTTGATAAACAGTGGAACCTCCTGCTGAAAAACGCCGTTGAGGTCTGGCAGCGTCGCAAATATAAATTTGGCGAGCAAAAGATTTGTAGCACACCTGCATCAGATGAATGCCGCAACCGACTACGGCAAATGGGAATCACAGTGCCCGAAGTGCATGTGAAAAGTCTAAACCGTAAAAACGTACAGCTACGCCGCGAAATACCCCAACTTATGGTTCGCGGCGAAAACATAGCTTTAATTACATTTATTGATAATTCAAAAGAGTAAAAGTTGCATTTTCGTCAGGATTGAGTAGTCTTTTAAATACATCAATTTGTGTATACCATTGGCACACATTCCTCGGCCGCAACATGCGAGGGTGAGTCGTCCTCCATGAGGTGTTGCAAGCTGTCCTTTGGATAGCTGGGTAAAGAAAATTAGCTTGTAATTGATTTCGTTGAATCGATAAGCCGCTTACATTTTAGAGGGGCTCTCATCGCTTAGCATTGTAACTGGAACAGTGGCGGAGGCGCATTCCGGACTCATGAGTTCTATGGGCGTCGGTCTACGTTCTTGTAATTGGCGCGTTATTTCTGCTGTGCTCAAGGTGCCAGTGACGCCCTTTGCAGCCAGCTGATGTTGCACTGAGGGCGACACCGTTGCCGTGGCCATTAGCTGCTTCTTAGCCGGCTGATGTTGGATAGAGCCACCGGTCGGAATCTTGCGCCTGCGTCCACGTGTTGCCCCACCTACGGCACCTGTATGCGTTGTGGGAACGGTCACATTTGCAGCTCCCTTTTCTTTATGCTTCCGCCGCATAGTCACAGGTTCCTTAGTCGAGTCGAAGGCAGGTTGCGCCAGTGCTACTGATGAGGTCATAGGTTCCACGTCAGAATTGGAGCTATCAGTCGCATCACTGTCACTAGAGTCCTTGGCAGGCTTTTCGTATAACAACAGGCGATCAATCAGGAACGATCGGTCACGAGACACTTTCAGCAGGCGTCGTTGATTAGTATGTAGCAGGTCCTGAAAATATTCGTTTTCCTACCAACACAAATTAAATGATATTCCCAATGGACGCATCATCACTTACATAGATGAGAAATTTCAATTTGCGCTTCAAATTTCTGTAGCGCTCCTTATAATCTATATTTCCATTGGCTGTGCCAGTCGATGCCGAGCTTGTTGCAGCTGTCGGTGGCGCTGCTTCAGAAACTGCTGCTGATTGTTTTGTATGTGCCTCTTCATCACTTTCGAGATGCTCCCCCTCTGTCCTATTGGATGTGGGCTTTTGATTAGCCAAAGACCGACAGTACCACCCATCTAGCATATTGAAGGGTTTTTAACTTCTTTTTATTTACGAGTCTAAGATTAAACGCCAATACTACTCCAATATGATTACCATATAAAACACTGAGTACTAAACACAGCCCACAGCCGATATATAAGAGTTTAAGATATCGGAAATGTATCGATGTATCCAGCCTATTGTATTCGATTAATTAAACTAGTTCAAATACTTAATGATAATACTTTAAGGGCACTTCCCAATTTTATTTTGTATTAAGAACATAAATAAATAAATGTATGCTTCCATTACAATATATAAAACAGGTGCACCTTCAATATGAATTATACTGAGGAATTTAGGCCCGCGGAAACATGTTCAGTAAATTTAGATGACGGATTCAGGATAATGACCCAAAGGCATTGGAATATAATATAACTTATTTTAAACTGGTAGTATTGAAATAATATAATTTGAAATTTGATCGATAAATAGTTAATCTGAATAATCGGAGTGTTTGATATCGAAAATATCGATACATTATCAACAATCATGGGATGCTTGTGAGCCGCACGTGTTGCATTTGTTTATATGCAGAATGAACAAGAAAGTTGTTATTAATAAACGCGTGAAGGGCTTGTCCCGTGAGGCGCTCGATCAGCTGAGCAAAACGGAATTAATTGACAAAATTGTGCAGCTAGAGGCGTACAATTTTCAGCTGAAAAACCTCTTACAAAAGAAACTGACCGAGAGCGACAAAAACAATTATGAGTACACAGCTGTACTGCGTAGGGAAGATGAGCAGGAATTAAAACCCAAGGACAGCGAGAAAGATACATCGGGAAAGAAAGACAAGCAACGTAAGTTTAATTGGGCCAGGTAAGTCCAATGCCATTAAAGTTTCATTGCAATCTATGTAGCTAATTATTGATTCGATTTTAGTGCACACAAGCGGCATGTGCTGATTAAGGTAATGTATTTCGGCTGGGATTACCAGGGCTTTGCGTGTCAGGAGGATTCAATGGATACGATTGGTGAGTACCAATACTTGAGGGGAGTAAAGGCCCTGCGTAAAAGTCCAGCAGAGAAACCATTTATATCATATTCGAATTGAAAGTGAATACAATCAGTTCCTCTCAGTGTTGGAGGATAGCCTTCTTCGTCTAAACTAGGTTTTCCGTGTTGCTCAATCTTTTGAAAACCTTATTGCAGCCAGCGAAGCCAAAGGCAACCAATATCTGATATAAAAAGTACTTGATTTGTTTATGCTATTCAAGCAACATGACCTAAGAGGACCTATTAGGAACCTAGGACAACCTCCGTTCAAAATTTCAAGTCTAGCTGTCATAGGTTCTGAGAGCAACGCGTTCATATATACAGACAGAAGGGATGACAAACAGACATGGCTAGATCGACTCGGCTATTGATGCTTATCAAGAAAATTATATATATTTTGCAGAAGCGTATTTGTTTCGTGCTTTGATACGTACCTGCCTGATCGAATCCCGTGCTACTTCCAACTATCATCGATGCGGACGCACCGACAAGGAGGTGAGCGCCTTCTGCCAAGTGATATCCATTGATTTGCGCAGCAAGCATGCGCCGGATGTCCAAATGGAGCCTGAGGCGCTCAGCTCTGAAATTGATTACTGCAGTCTGCTGAATCGCGTGTTGCCCAAAAACATTCAGTGCGTCTCCTGGATGCCACTGCGAAATCCGGCATATAGCGCACGTTTCGACTGTATTTCACGCACTTACCGATACTACTTTCCCAAAGGGGATCTGGATATTGAGGCCATGCGCATTGCCTGCCAATCACTTGTGTGCCATGGCGATTTCAGGAATTTCTGTAAAATGGATGTCCACAATGGCGTTACGAATTACATGCGCAATTTACAGGGAGCAGCGATAAAGCCATGTGATAATACAGATATACAAATGCATTCAAATTCAGGTGAGTGTAGCACTAAATTAGAATATGCATATATAAATTCATACATGCATGCATGCATGCTACATACATACGTACACACATGTATACATGTATGCATGCATACATATATACACACTTGCATGCATGCATGCATGCATGGATACATACCTACACACACACACACACACACACACACACACACATACATACATACATACATACAAACATACATACATACATACATACATACATACATACATACATACATACATACATACATACATACATACATACATACATACATATCTATCTACCTACATACCTACAAACACGCCTCCTGCTCCGCCCTCTTGGTGCTCCTCCGGCTCCTCAGCTTCCAGCGTTGAAGCCGCCTGCGACTAATTCATTTGTGAAGCCTGCGAGCCTTACTTAAATTTTTGAGAATCGAGGAGGAGGGCAGCTTTATTTAAATTTGCCGCTCAACAAGACAAACTGGTCTGCTGGCATAGAACACATTTTACATGCATACATACATATATACGTACATACATACATACATACACACATGCACACACATACACACATACACATATACATACATACATACATACATAATTACATACAAACATTTCAATTCAATCAATATATTTAAAGAACTAATGTACTTTAAATTTTAATTCAACAGGCTACGCAATGTACTATTTGGAGATACAAGGCAATGCTTTCCTGTGGCACCAGATACGCTGCATCATGGCTGTGCTGCTGCTGGTTGGGCAGAAGCATGAGCAGCCGTGCGTCATCAGTAAATTGCTAGATGTCGTCAGCAATCCTTGTAAGCCACAGTACACGCCAGCGATTGGCTTGCCATTGAACCTATTTCGCTGTGAATTTCGGGCACACTCCACACGTCAAGCAATTCCGCCAGCGTCATCCTCGGCTGCTATTGATGACCTTGATGATGACGTGGATCTCGCCGCGCAAAAGCCTGAAAACGTCGAGGCGACGAAAAGTGATCTAACCGATTGGGTTTACAGTGAGGAGAATCTACAAAAGCTCATCGAGAACGTGCAATGCGAGTGGACACAGTTCAGCGTCAAGTGCACCATGATACGCAACGTATTGGTGCAGCTGGAGGATCTCCTTGAGCGCAACTACAAGGCACAAGAGATCCAATCACAAGCAATAATGCTGCAGGATGCGGTCAAGCCGCGTCAGTATCAGCCACTTCTACAGCGCAAGCGATGTGGTGAGTGCCTGACTTTAAAACCTATGTCTGATTAATTAATAAACATTAATGTATATGCTTTTTCAGAGAGCCTGGAAAATCGAATTGAGCATTTTGTGAAAAAGCAACGACTGCTTTTAACAAGCGATGCAGGAACGGAGACGGTTTTAAGTAAACCGGATGGTTAAATATGTAATCAAGTATTTGGTAGAGGTTGACAGTTTCTGCAGAAACATATTTCAAATAAAGATCTTGAATTCATAATGTTTACTCTTCCCAACTGTTATCCGCGATATACAAACAATATCTTGGGGTATATGCGATTTTTGAGTTGGAAATGCCTTCTTCGCCGTGTTGCACATTTATTTTTAATTTTAATAATAATAAGGATTGGAAATAGAATTTCAAGTCTGTGTATAGGTACTCATTTTACGGTAGGCATTTTAATTTTCAAAAAATTGTACAACGTTTAGAAGATTGGCTTAGATTATCTAACTAATTTAAAAAGGTTGATTCATTAAATTACTTCAATATAGCATGCAAATAGCCTAGTTTTGTATGAGTTATATTAAGTGATACATATATATTATGTATGCTAGCAAAGGTACATATATGCTGGGGGCCAGAACATAACTAGTACTAAATTTAAGTGTTCTATGTACATTTAACTTGCTTAAAAGAATTATGTGCTGCTGTTCAGGTATTAACAATAGTGCTAACATTTATAGTCGATATGTATGTAGAGTGTATAGCTTTATGTATATGTGATCCAATGATTCGCTTATGTGCCCATTGACTTTGCCTTTTGTAGTCTGAAATAGATAAACCAAATATGAAATTCAAACAGTCTGTTTTATTAATTAGTTAGAATCATCTTACTTGCGTCTCAAGATTTTAAGCGCAATTGTGCCCTCGCGCACATTTTTGAAAAGTCCAATAGTTTCGGCATGACTCATGCCCTGCACGGAATGGCCATTGATTTCCACAATCTCATCGCCTGCAATAGGTTTTAAATTGAAATCGAAAATGAGGTAAAAATGGGGCCTAAACTTACCAGCTTGCAGCGTGCCATCATCTGCAGCTTGTCCCGAGGGGAAAACTGTTTTCACAAAGATGCCCATGTTGCCCTTGGGCGAGTCTCGGCCGCCCACAATGCTGAATCCCAAGGACTTCAGGCCAGGTCCCTTGAAAAACGTAATTGTCTTCTGCGTGCAGCGCCCAGTGCCTAGAGACAATGTAAGCCAATAAGGATGTTTAGTGAGATTCGAATGAGTGTTAATGTGGATGGGTTATTGGGTTAAGCTCACCCTCACTACTCATTGAGGCGCGTATGACTTCGGCCATTTCCTCGTCGCGTATCGTTAGCTTGGCCACTGGCAGCGATGGTCGATGGTGCATTAGTGATGCGGTGGGAGGTGCCAATGAGGCTGCTGCTGCTGATGATGATGAGGATGGTGCAGTGGAGCAGGAATTAAGAAACGGATTAGGCGCAAACAATGAAATGTTTTTTGGCGAGTGCTTGATGTATAATGAATGGTGTTGTGCTGGTTGTTGTTGTTGTTGTTGTTGTTTTTGTTGCTGGTGTTGCGTATTATTAGTGAGATCAGTTGTTGTTGTGCTGGTTGTTGGGTTGTCTGTGGTTGTTGTATTGCCATCAGGTAGACTGTTAGATGCTGCCGCCGGCGCCGTCTGCATGAACAAACTAAGTCGCGACGAACTGAGTCGCGAATGTGCGAATCTCAGCGAGCGATAATGTGAATTGGTTAGATTGATGGAATTGCGGGCATAATGCATTCGCTGGCCGAACTGCTGGCCACCGATGCCTGTGTCGGAGGACAGTGCAGCCCCTTCCGAGCAGCGCTTTCGTGCCAGTAGCCACCACTTCTCATCGTCCGCCAGCGAAGAGCCCACACAGACGCTGGCCGCTCGATTTGCATACACAGGTGTGTATGAGTCGTTATTGTTATTGTTAACAGAGGTCGAGAAGGAGGTGTCATTGTTTGATTGGTTGTTAAAGAGCGGTGTTGGTGTTAGAGCCAAGCTGCGCTGACCTGAAGAGCTGCGCGCTCTGCGCCGCAACAGCTCATGCTCTGGTGCGCTCACGTCGAGCGAGTGGCGCGGCGTGGAGCTTCGACGATGCTGCATCAGCGGCATAGGCGATGGCAGGGTGCTGACGCTGGCCAGGGAGCGCGCATCGCACTGATCCTCGCACGTATCCTCCAGTCCAGCCGCATCACGTTCGCGTTCTTCTGTCCGGTCACGAACCTGTTCCTGCTCCTGTTCCACCTGCAACTGCAGGCTTTGTAAACTGTTCAGGCTGTCCGTGCGCTGTGCATAGCTGAGCCTCTGGCGCTGTGTGCTCATTCCATCAATGCGTATTTTGGTATAGAAATCTGTGACGGTGGCAATCTCATCGTGCGCTATGACCAGATCAATGCAGTTCTCCACAAAGCAGCTGAGCAGACGTTGCACCTCACCAAACGACTGAATGCCACGCAAATGCTTGCCGTTCACATTAACAATCTCATCGCCCAGCCGCAGACGACCATCTCTGTGGAAGGATAGAAATGAAGGGCAGTTAAGTATATGGAGTCATTAATTAAATTAAGTTAACTTACTTTTGTGCCATGCCGTATGGCTCGAGCTCAACAATCAGATATCGATACTGCTGCTCATTGTTGTTGGTGACGACCATTTTGGGTGACAGCACCAGCCCAATGTAGTCCTCTTGACATTTACGCTCCAGTTTGAGTTGTCGGAAGCGTCGCCTGATGGTCTCCGTTTCGTAGTCATAGTTGTAGCCGCCCAGCGAGACGGGTGCACTGCAAATGCTGTTGCGCAGTGAGGAGCCCGAGCCCAGGCCCAGGCCCATGCCGACGCCCTCGGAGGAGCTGAGCGAGATGAGCGAATTGCGCTTTAGTGTGCCTGAGGCAATAGATTCTGTATCTCCGGCGGAGATGCTAAGATTATTGCCTAGGCGGGCACCGGCTGTGCCTCCGCCTCCACCGACGCCGCCGCCGCCACCATCGCTGTCATAGCCCGACTCATTTGAACTCAGACAACTACTTAATCTTTGGTAAAGTGGTTCCCAGTCCTTGGATGAGATGCTGTCGTTGCGAGACACATTCACCAGCTGCTGCTCCGGCGAATGACGCTGGGGCAACGGCGATTGTGTCTGCGACGTAGCCGATGCAGTCTGATTCACGGACGTTTCGCGCTGGAATTGCTCGCGTTGTTGTTGCTGATGCTTGAGCAGCACAGAGCCACCGTTCTCCTCGGGTAGCACCGAGAGTCGTGAACGCAAAAAGGCATAAGGAAAGGCGCCACGACGGCTGGCATCCTGCTGACCGCCGCCGCTGGCCGTGTTACTTCCGCCGCCAGCTTGAAGGGCAAGGGAGCCCACATTGTCGCCGGCAGCGCTGCCATTGCTGCTGCTGGCGGTCAGGCAGCTGCTCACCTTGGCAATGTCATCGCAACTGCTGGACTTGAGGCTAGATATGCGAGGCGAGTGCTGCTGCTGCTGCTGCTGCTGCTTTTGCTGCTGTAAATGTTGTCGCTGCAGATTTAGGCCCTCGGTGGGATCGTCGCACTTGATGTATGAGCAGCTAGACAACTGGCTGGTCGAGCTGCTGCGATACAGCGTTTGGCTGCTTGGAGTTGCCTGCTGTGACGCTTCGGAAGCCTTTAGCAGATTGTGCGAGCGATGATTCAGCATGCCCGTGGAGCCAATGCGATGAAAGAAGTTCTTCAGCGCCTTTTGTGGGCGTGTTGCTGGCTGATACTGATGTGTGGGCGTTGACTGAGCGCTCTGGCTGCCCCTGCTTGCCGCATCCTGTGCCGATTGCAGCTGGAACTGTTGTTGCTGCTGCTGCTGCTGGTGCTGGTGCTGCTGCTGGTGACGCTGCTTGATCGTTTCAATGGGTCCCGACTTGCACTTTTTAAGCGTAGTGCCCTGATAAGCTCCAGTAGGCGTTGCTGACGGCTTCCCATTGTTAGCCTTGTGCGTTGGCGAGTGAAACAAGCTGCGCAGATCCGTGTGCGACTTGTGTGTGTTGGCGGCAGGCGACTCGCTGCGCTTTAGCAAATCCAGTTTGCGACTCATGCGCTTGCCCCACGTGAACACTGCAAAAGAGGCAGGGAATGGGGAGAGCATTCAATCAGAAAGTTATTTCTAAATTAATTATAATGCTTCAATTAATCTTAACACCTCATGGACATGGCCGCATTGACAGCCGCCGCAGCAAGCGCGAATCAAGCTCGACTTGGACTTGGACCTGGACCTAGACCTTGTCTGTTCTTTTAGCATTGACAACCAGGCCGCTTTTGCATTGCGGTTGATAGCCTGTCACGTGTTCGTGAAAGGCATCGGCTTACACGCTTTCCAGCCAAGCAACCACAACAAAGGTCGGCTTTAAAGATGTGTTGATTGCTGCAACTTGAAATAACCGCAATTTCAATACGAGACTTGACAGGGTGATTGGTGCGGCAACCTTACGCTTTCTACTTTTCTGAGGAAAAAAATGTTCGGGTTTTGAAAATAACGAACGTTGGTTTTTTTTTCAAAGTATCTGTTCAAATTCATTTCCCCATGCGTATGACGTCACTTGAGCGCGCCTTATAAACTAAACTATCGCAAATAAGTTATCGATATATCGGTATAGCATGTACAACCATGTTTCAGTATTTTTCACAGTTCTTTTTTCCACTTACAGTCTACAGTCACATCTTACACATAAACAACAATTGATTTTTCGAGTGCAAAAATGTCTGTGGCTGCTAAAAAAATTGCCGAGGCAGAACAATTAGTCCAAACAGCCGAAAAAAGCTTAAAAACATCCCTGTTAAAATGGGTACCTGACTATGACAGTGCCGCCGACGAATACGCAAAGGCAGCAACTGCGTACAAGATTGCGAAATCATTCGACAAAAGCAAGGAGTGCTTGTTAAAGGCTATTGATTGCTACAAAAACAACAAATCCTGGTTCCATGCAGCAAAGTCATACGAACAGATTATCTTGCTGTGCAAAGATGTTGACAAGCTAACGGATGTCGAGGAATATGCCAACAGGGCATGCAGCCTTTATCAGCAGCATGGCTCACCAGAAGCTGCCGCCTCTGCGCTGGAAAAAGCGGCCAAATTAACGGAAGCAAATCACCCGGATGTGGCTCTTCGCCTGTATCAGCATGCAGTGGAGGTCATTCTAATTGAAGATTCAACCCGGCAAGCAGCCATATACTCCTCGAAAGTATCGAGAATATTGGTCAAGCTGCAGCGGTTCGAAGAGGCGACAAAGGCGCTCAAAACAGAAATTGGGTTGTATCAGCAAACAGAATCGTTCGGTCAAATCGGCCGTTTGGTTGTGGCGCTCGTACTGGTGCAGTTGGCTCGAGGTGACTCGGTCGAGGCAGAAAAGTCGTTCAGGGAATGGGGCACTTGCTGTGAGCCCGATGAAGTATCCACGTTGACGACGCTTTTGCAAGCTTTCGACGAGGAGGACGGCGAACTGGCAGCCCGAATGCTGGCATCTCCATTCATCCGACACATGGATGTGGAGTATGCAATTTTGGCTAAAAACATTCCATTACCGAAAGGTCTAGAGGTAGCGAAGAAATCCGTAGCTGCCGATGAGCTGAATAATGCCAGAGATCATGAGGATGAGGGCGAGGACTTGTGTTAGACGGCGTATTTTGTTGTTATCTAAGTGCTAATTAATCAATTAATGCAATTTACATTTTAATCGTTAACAAAAATATACTTAATAAAATAATATTCAGTCTTCTGCCTCATATTAAGTGTATATTTTTGGTAGTACCAAAGGCAATATAAATACTAAGATGCCAATA